AAAAAAAAAAAAAAAAATCGTAATAAAATGGGAATTATGTATGTATTATATTTAAAAAGAATCTATCAATTAAATTAAAAAGTTATTCAAGAAAGCACTGCACATTAAGGGGAAAATATTTTTAGAAAAAGCATCTTGAATAGAGAATTATCTTCATACTTACATGAAGAAAGCCAATGTGGAAAATACACCACATGTGTGAAAGGCATGGTTCAACTGTTCCGGCTTAGGATACACCACAGCTGCATCAATCATTATCCACCAGCCTGTAAAAAACTTAAAACACAGCCCAAGTCATTGAAACACTAAAACTCTTGCTAGCACAATACCTGCTTTTTAACATTCCTTTTGTCATACAGATCATATAAATGGGCCAGGGGCAGAGGCTCATGCCTATAATCCCAGCACTTTGGGAGCCGACACAGGTGAATCAACTGAGGTGAGGAATTCGAGACCAGCCTGGACATCATGGTGAAACCCTGTCTCTACTAAAAACACAAAAATTAGCCAGGCATGGTGGAGTGTGCCTGTAGTCCCAGCTACTGGGGAGGCTGAGGCAGGAGAATCGTTTGAACCCAGGAGATGGAGGCTGCAGTGGGCCGACATTGTGCCACTCCACTCCAGCTTGGGCAACAGAGCGAGACTCTGTCTCAAAAAAACAATCACATAAATTAAAACTAAAATATTTCTACTTTGAAATCTGGATGCTAAAATGTAAAAAATAAGAATCCTTTGTTTACTTACTGTTTTTTGTTTTGTTTTTTAAGAGAATCTCCCTCTGTAGCCAGGCTGGCATGCAGTGGTGCAAACTTAAACTAACTGCAACCTCAGACTCCTGGACTCAAGCAATCCTCTCACCTCAGTCTCCTGGGCAACTGGGACTATGGCCTCATGCCAACACTCTGGCTCATTTAAAAAAATTTTTTTTTTTTTTTGTAGAGACAGGGTCCCATTATGCTGCCCAAGCTTGTCTCAAACTCCTGGTCTCAAGTGATCCTCCTACCTCAGTCTCCCAAAGTACTAGGATTATAGGCATGAGCCATCTTACCCTTATGCTTTATAGCAGATGAGGTGAACATCACTACTCAAATCTATATAAGATTCTGAAGTTCCACTCTCAGTGCACACAGACATATGTATTATTTGGAAATGGATTATCTGCTTCTTTCATCCACCATTGCTACATGCAATAGAAACTCTCTTAATTAACCTCCAACATAACCGGCTCCCTAATGACCTGATGTGTTCCATTCTTTCTAGAGAACATTCCTTTTAATATGCCCAAGCACTTTTGCTCCCACAAAAGAGTTGTATGCTTACCAAGACTCAGTTATCAAGTCTCCAAAACTACTTATGCCTGCTAGTTTTAATTATGCAATTTAATTAAATATTGTATAACTGAACATGGGTTTAAGAATGTAATGTTTCTATGTAAATTAAGCTGAACAGACTTAAAGTAGACAAGTTGCTAAATAATTTCTTAGACAAATAAGTACAGGTAAATGACCATAAAGAGCAGGAAAAACTTACAAACATCAAAAAGAATTCTGCATGCAGGCCAGGCACCAGTGGCTTACACCTGTAATCCCAGCACTTTGGGAGGCCAAGGCGGGTGGATTACTTGATGTCAGGAGTTTGAGACCAGCCTGGCCAATATGTCGAAACCTCATCTCTACTAGAAATACAAGGCTGGGCAGAGTGGCTCACATGAGGTCAGGAGTTGGAGACTCTACTAAACATACAAAAATTAGCTGTGTGGGGCGGTGGTTGCCTGTAATCCCAGCTGCTTAGGAGGCTGAGGCAGGAGAACTGCTTGAACCTAGAAGGCGGAGGCTGCAGTGAGCTGAGATCACACCACTGCACTCCAGCCTGGGCGACAGAATGAGACTTTGTCTCGAAAAAATTCAAATACAAACACAAAAATGAGCTGGGCGTGGTGGCGCGTAGCTGGGCTCCCAGCTACTTGGGACACTTAGGCACAAGAATTGCTTAAACCTGGGAAGTCAGAGGCAGAGGCTGCAGTGAGCAGATTGCTTCACAATGATCATTAGTTCTTACTCTGCTTTATTTCATTTTGTTTTTCTATTGAACTTTGGGTGTAGAACTGTACACTGAAAGGGATGAATTTTTAAAATGTAAACAGATAAAGAATTTGCTTCCAAAAAACACAGTGGGAGCCAGGAATGGTAGTATGAATCTGTAGTCCCAGCTAGTTGGGAGACTGAACCAGGAAGATTGCTTGAGGCCATGAATTTGAAGCTGTAGTACACTGTAATCACACTTGTAAATAGCCACTGTATTCCAGTCTGGAATGAATCCAGGGCCTACCATATTCTGTTCAGCAATAGTATCTAGAACTCTGATAATTATCTATACAAAACAGTAGTGAAATAAATAGTTCTGGAACACCATTCTCAGTTCAAAGAAATCAACATTAATTTCCAGAGCAAAAGATAAGGCATAAATGTCACCAACCAGTCTTTCTCACTTACCAATATACCTGCTACAACAGACGCCACAGCATTTCTCCTCTCACTCCAGTCAATACATTCACATTCTGGCCAACGAAAATTATCTAGGAAGCCTGCCATTTTTACTTCTTAAGCATAAATTTTTCATTAAATGCTGTATCCTACAAACAGAAAGACAAAAGTTAATCAACCTAAGAAAATGTTTTCTAACAGTCTAATACCTTACTCCTTTCTTAAAGCTTTATACACAGCTTTACTTTAGGTCCTATTCTACTGTAGTTAAGAAAAATTCAATACTTCAACAAGTACCTAATTGAGATGTATATAGGACTATGCTAGGACACGTGGGGGAGGTTGCTATTTGCTAATTGAGCACTATAGTTTTAAAACATGTCTACGAGGTAGGCACGGTGGCTCGCGCCTGTAATCTAGCACTTTGGGAGGCCGAGGTGGGCAGATCACTTGAGGCCAGGAGTTCGAGACCAGCCTGGCCAATATAACGAAACCCTGTCTCTACTAAAAATACATGATGACACACGCCTGTAATCATAGCTACTTGGGAGGCTGAGGCACAAGAATTGCTTGAACCCGGAAGGCAGAGACTGCAGTGAGCCAAGATCACGCCACTGCACTCCAACCTGGGCAAAAGCAAGATTCTGTCACAAAAATAAATAAATAAATGAAATAAACATGTCTAAAATATTTGATGCTGCTTCCATCGAGAGGTAGATTTATGTCATACCCTTGAATTTGGGTCAACAATAAAGACTAGCTGACCAGTAGAGGAAGTGATGCTATGTAACTTCTGCCATGCAGCTTCCAAGATCAGGTCACAGAAGGCAATGGAGCGTCTGCCTGGGTCTCTGGAACACTAATGCTTGCGCTACCATGCCGTAAGGAGACCATTTATAGGTGTTCTGTCTCAGTTCCAGTTGAGGTCCCATCCAACAGCTAGCATTAATTGCCAGACATGTGAGTAAAGACACTTTTAGGTGACTGCTATCCAGCTATAGTATCTCCCCCAAAGTTTGAGCCTTTCCATGTAAGGCACCAGATACATAGAACAGAGATACATCATCCTGGCTGTGCCCCTTCCAAATTCCTGACCCATAAAATCTAATAAACATAATAAAATGACTGTTAAGCCACAGGGTCTTGGCATTAATCTGTAATACATAGATTCATGTAACGTAATACATAACTAGAAAGAGAAAAATAATGTGCCTAAATAACTATAAGAGTGTAACATACTTAAAAACACAAAGAAAAAAAAAAAAAAACCACAAAGATACTATGTCCAGATGAGATGTTTAAAGGCCACCATAAATTCTAGAAAGAAAGAAAAAAACATTTGAAAGCACTGGAGAGGGCTGAAAAGCAAGCAGAAATTGGAGGAAACGTCACCCTTGTAAGAAAGAAAACACGGCCGGGCACGGTGGCTTACGCCTACAATCCCAGGACTTTGGGAGGCCAAGGCAGGTGAATCAGCTGAGGTCAAGAGTTCAAGAGTAGCATGGCCAACATGGTGAAATCCCATCTCTACTAATAATACAAAAATCTGAGGCAGGAGAAGCAATGTGGTGGCATGCCTGTAATCTCAACTATTCAGGAGGCTGAGGCAGAAGAACCAGTTGAACGTAGGAGGTGAAGATTGTAGTGAGCTGAGATCGTGCCATTGCACTCCAGCCTGGGTGACAGAGCAAAACCCCGCCTCAAAAAAAAAAAAGAAAGAAACAAAGAAAACACAGCTGGCCACATGGTGACTTAGGCCTGTACTCCCAGCACTTTGGGAGGCTGAGTTGGGTGGATCACTTGAAGTGAGGAGTTTGTGACCAGCCTGGTCAACGTGGTGAAACCCCGTCTCTACTAAAAATACAAAAATCTGAGGCAGGAGAAGCATTTGAACACAGGAGGCAAAGGTGGCAGTGAGCCAAGATTGTGCCACTGCACTTCAGCCTGGGTAACAAAGTGAGACTCCGTCTCAAAAAACAAAAGCAAACAAAAAAATTCAGCCTGGTGTGGTGGTGTGCGCCTGTCATTCCAGCTACTCTGGAGGCTGAGATAGGTGAATCATTTGATCCCGGGAGGCGGAGGTTGCAGTGAGCCTAGATTGCACCACTGCACTCCAGCCTGGGCGACGGAGCAAAACTCCATCTAAAAAAAGGAAAAAAAAGAAAGAAAACACAGTACGTGAGATCAGCTGTTCCCCTGAGGAACCCCTATAACCTCTCACTACCAGCCCAGGGAGTCCCCTTGGAAGAAAGTAGCTAAAATGCAAGCAAAAAGCCACAGTCCTCTTGGCTTGAGATGCCAGAAGATGGAGTTCAGGACCACCAGAGCAGCTGGAAATTGAGGGGGGAAATCTTCAAAAGGAGTAAGTCACAAAGAGAGCCCCAAACACTTAAATATAAGAGAGACATTTTAGAATTTGAGTTCCACCAAGTCAGGGAGGATCAGTAAACACTGTAGGGACATATCCTAACAAAATATAAAACCAAGTCTCCACAATTTTAAGGTAATCAGCCAATAGTTTAACTGCCTGTTACAACAAAAAGCAACACTTTTCAGATGAAGATAACTAAAACGACTCATATTATTCACAATGTCCAATATATACTAAAAAAATTACTAGACATGCAAAGAAGTGGGATAATGTGTTCTACTTTTTTTTTTTTTTTTTTGAGACGGAGTTTCGCTCTTGTTACCCAGGCTGGAGTGCAATGGCGCGATCTCGGCTCACCGCAACCTCCGCCTCCTGGGTTCAGGCAATTCTCCTGCCTCAGCCTCCTGAGTAACTGGGACTACAGGCACGCGCCACCATGCCCAGCTAATTTTTTGTAGTTTTAGTAGAGACGGGGTTTCACCATGTTGACCAGGATGGTCTTGATCTCTTGACCTTGTGATCCACCCACCTCGGCCTCCCAAAGTGCTGGGATTACAGGCTTGAGCCACCGCGCCCGGCTTGTGTTCTATTTTTAAGGAGGAAAAAGAACAGTCAATAGAAATAAATCCCAAAATGACTCACATATTGAAATCAGCAGACAAGGACTTCAAAGCACCCATTATAGTAATCATATTCAAGGACTTAAAGGAAAACATGGTCAAAATAACAGAACCAATGGAGCATCTTAGTAGTGAAAAGGAAACTATTTTTTAAAAAAAGAATCAGCAGCCAATGTGATGGCTTGCACCTGCAATCCCAGCTACTTAGAAGGCTGAGACAGGGAGACTGCTTGAGGCCAGGACTTCATGCCCAGCCCAGGCAACATGGTGAGACCCTGTTTCTAAAAATCAAATTAAAATGTAAAAAGATTCAAATGGAAATTCAAGAGCTGCAAATTACAATGTTTGAGTTTAAAAATTAACTAAATGAACTTAATCACAGATTGAGACAGTGGAAGAATGGGACAATAAACTGAAACATCAAAAGAAATTATCCAGTGTAGAGACCTGAGGAACAATATTAAGTGATCTAAAATACATGTAATTAAAGTCCCAGAAGAAGAAGAGACAGAATGAGAAAGAAAAAAAGTTTTGAAAAAATAACAGATGGTCCGGGTGTGATGGCTCATGCCTGTAATCCCAGCACTTTAGTTAGCTGGGATCACCTGAGGTCAGGAGTTTAAGACCAGTCTGGCCAACATGGTGAAACGAAACCTGTCACGCTAAAAATACAAAATCAGTCAGGTGTGGTGGCGCATGCCTGTAATCCCAGCTACTTGGGAGGCTGAGGCAGGACAATCGCTTGAATCGGGGGGGCAGAGGTTGCAGTGAACTGAGATCACACTATTCACTGCACTCTAGACTGAACAACAAGAATGAAACTCTGTCTCAAAAAAAAGAAGAAGAAGAACTAACAGATGAAAATTTCTCAAATTTAGTGAAAAATATTAACTTACAAATCTAAAAAACTCAGCAAACTCTAAGGAGGATAAATGCAAAGAAAACATCATAATCAAACTGCTAAAAAGCAGCGATAAAGAGAAACTCTTGAAACAACTTTATGGAGGAAAAAAATAAATGCAACATATACAGAGATAGAAAAATACGAATGATGGCTGACTTGTAATCAGAACAATGGAAGCCAGAAAACAGAGGAATGACATTGTTAATACCAGGTATGGTGGCTCACATCTATAATCCCAACACTTTGGAGACTGAGGTGGGCAGACTGCTTGAGGCCAGGAGTTCAAGACTAGCCTGGACAACATGGAAAAACCCCATCTCTACTAAAAATACAAAAATTAACTGGGCGTGGTGGTGCCTGCCTGTAGACCCAGCTACTCGGGAGGCTGAGGCATGAGAATCACTTGAACCCAGGAGGTGGATGTTACAGTGAGCCGAGATCATACCACTCCAGCCTGGGTGACAAAGTAAGACCCTGTCTCGAAAAGAAAGAAAAAAAAATTCAATCCCAAATTCTATATCCAGCAAAAATATTCTCCAAAAAGGAGGATAGCCAAACATGGTGGTATGCACCTGTAATCCCAGCTACTCAGGAGGCTGGAGGCTAAGATGGAAGGATCACTTGTGCCCAGAAGTTCGAGATTACAATGAGCTATGATGGGTGACGGCATGAGACCCTGTCTCAAAAAAACAAGAAGGTGACAGCAATTCTACTCCTATCTAACTACCCAAGAGAAATGAAAACATATCTTCACAATAACTTGTTCAAAACAGCATTATTCATAATTTCCAAGGAGTGGAAGACCAAACATACATCAACAGATGGATAAATAAAACATAGTACATCCATACAATGAAATACCAATTCAGCAACAAAAAGAAATGAGGTTCCTACAGATGCTACAACATGAACAAACCTCAAAAACCGACTAAGTAAAAGACAGAAGACCACATATTGTATGGTTCCATTTACAAGAAACATCCAGAATAGACAGATCTATAGACATGAAGTAGATTAGTGGCTGTCTGGGGATGGGGAGGAGAAAGATATGAAGTGACTGCAAAAGGCCACAAGATTCTAAAACTAGATTGTGGCAATGACTGTACAGCTCCATAAATACTAAAAATCATTCAACTGTACACTTAAAACAGGTGAATGTTAGAGTATACATACTGTATCTCAACAAAGCTTTTTTTTTGGTGGGGGGAAGGGAGCTGTTTTTTGTTTTTTTAAGAGAACCAGGGTTTCACCAAG